GGCGGGCCACGGGGAGAGGGCGAGCGCTCGCACCCCCGGGCCTAACCGTGCCCACAGAACAGCCCGGGGGGAGAAAGGGAGAACCTCGGGCGGGTCTTGTTTTACACCGTGGGCCCTCTGTCTCCCGCACTCCCCGCACCTGCCGCACATTACCTGGCATTCAGCTCCGCGAGTACCGCACGGAGGTCAACGGTGCTAAAGCGGGTCTTCATGGCGAGGCTGGAGAGTCGCTACCGCAGCTTTCACTACTGATCGCCGGACTCGACGCCTCTACTCTTCCACGCAGGCGCACTTGGTGGAGAGCTACGGCCGCGCAGAAGACCCAATATTCCTTAAACGCGTTTCTGTCGCTTTCCGGAAGGATTCGTTTAAGTCCCCGTCGACTCGCCTTTTTTTTTTTTTTTACCAGAACAATTGTATTTTGTACCAGAAAGAGATACCAACTGTTCTATTAAAACTACATTCCTTCCTGGAAAGTTTACGGATTAATCCGGTTACCTTGCCCCTTGTATTTCGAAACTCAAACCAGCCTCCATAGTGACCCCTGCTGGTGGTAGCAGTTTATGAGGGAGGAACCCTGATTTCCCCAGAGGGGCCGTAGGGTCCTGTCTCCTTTACCTGTACGTGCAGAAATGCAAGAAGTCAAACTGTTTCATTGGCCCTATGATTATCCTCAACAATCAAGGCTAACCGGCCCGCAAGAAGAAGTTCCTATTTTGATGGGCGCTACTCTCCAAGATGGAGCAACTCTGATCTCACGGGGAGTTCCCTAGGATCAGTTGACAGAGGAAGACTTGGGACTGATGTATAGACAGTCCTGTATGATATGTGGGCGTCACCTGCAAATGAACCGCTGCAGCACTACTGCCCCTTTCTGGGACATTCCTGAAAGACTGTGGTGAAGAGAAAATCCTCCCCGTGGGCAGAATTCCCAGCAGTGCACCTGGTTGTTCATTTTTCTTGGAAGGAGAAATGTGATTATATACCAATTCATGGGCTGCGACTGGGTGTCCAGGGGCTTTGAAGGCACATAATTTGAAATTTAGTGATGATGCAGTCTGGGGGAGAGGTCTGTGGATAGACCTCTCTGAATAGGTAAAAAAAAAAAAAATGAATATATTTGCATTCCATGTGACTACTCACCAAATACTCATCAATAGAGGAGGATTTTAATAATCAAGTTGATAGGAGGACAAACCTGTTCTGTGGATACCAGCCAGCCTCCTTCCTCAGCCACCTGGGTCATTGTTCCATGGGACCGTGAATATAGTGGCCATAGTGGCGGGATGGAATTTGAGCATGGGCTCAGCAACGTGGACTCCCATTCGCCAAGACAAACCTGGCTGTGGCCGTGCTGAGTGCCCAGACTGCCAGCAGCAGAGACCAACGCTGAGTCTATGGCACATTCCCCCAGGGTGACCAGCCAGCTACCTGGTGGCACCTACTGGACCACTTCCATCATGGAAGGAGAGGGTTTTGTTCTTACCGGAATAGACATTTACTCTAGAAGCAGATTTGCTTTCCCTGCTGAAACTACCACCCATGGACTTACAGAATGCCTTTTTCATCGTCCTGGTGTCCCACACAGCATTACTTCTGATCAAGAAACTCACTTCGCAGCAAATGAAGTGCACCAGGAGCATAGGATCATGGAATTCACTGTTTGTACCATTTCTCCCACTATTCTGAAGCAGCTTGCTTTAGATAGTGTTGAAGTGGCCTTTCAAAGGCTCAGTTACAGCACCAGGTAGGTGGCAATACTCTGCAGGACTGAAGCAAAGGTCTCTCCAGGAGGCTGTGTGTGCTCTGAATCAGCATCCACTGTATGATGCCTTTTCTCCCACAGCCAATACTATTGAGTCCAGAAATCACTAATACGGATGGAAATGAGAGTGGCAGCACTGACTCTTACCCCTAGTGACTCTCTAGCAAAAGTTTTGCTTCCTGTGTCCCCAGTCTTATAATCTGCTGGCCTAGGAGTCTTAGTTATAAAGGAAGGAACGTTTCCCCTAGGGGACACAATTCGACTGAACTAGGAGGTTAGACTGCTGCACAGTCACTCTGGGCTCCTCATGACTATGAATTAACAGGCAAAGAAGGGAGTTCCTGTGGGGGGATTGGGCCTGATTACCAAGGAGAAATTTGACTGCTACTCCACAGTGGAGGTAAGGAAGAGCCTATCTGGAATATAGTAAATCTCTTAGGGCATTTCTTAGCGTTACCACATCCTGAGATGGAAGTCAAAAACTACAGCTCCATCCAGACAGGAATACTAATGGCTCAGATCATTCAGGAATGAAGGTTTGGATAACTCCACTAGTTAAAGAAACTTGAGAAGCTGAAGTGCTTCGTGAAGGCAAAGGGATTATGGAATGGGTTGTGGAAGAAGGTGGTTTTAAATACCAGCTACAACCACATGACCAGCTACAGAAACAAGGACTGTATGCCCTGCCAGTGTGGCTCAGTGGTTGAGTGTTGACCTATGAACCAGGAGGTCATGGTTCAAGGCACATGCCCGGGTTGCAGGCTCAGATCCCAGTAAGTATGTTCACTTTATATTACTTGAAGTTATGGACTATCAAGAAGAGTAAAGATTACCCCAAAACTTTGCATCCTCTTCTAGGGAAAGGGTTAGGGCATTTTTGGCGGTATACAGGATAGTTGTACCATGTTAGGCAAAAGTATGACCTGGTTGTTATGGTCCTAATTTGGAAATTAGGTGTAGTTTAAGAAGATGCACATGAGTGTCTTGTTGAGGTGTAGTGGACTTATCATGGTTAATTTTATTTGTCAATGTGGCTCAGTGGTTGAGCATCGACCTATGAACCAGGAGGTCGTGGTTCAATTCCTGATCAGCGCACATGCCCAGGTTGCAGGTTCAATCCCCAATGCCGGGTATGCAGGAGGTAGCCAATTGATGATTCTTTCTCATCATTGACGTTTCTATCTCTCCCTTCCTCTTTATGAATAAAAATATATATATATATCTTTTAAAAAAAGGAAAGAAAGAAAGGACATTTGAATCAGAAATTTCTAATTTTCTCCTTATATAAAGTTGCTTTGAATGTCCTAGTCTTTAATTTCGGGCTCCCAAAAGGAGGAAAGAAAAAAATGTAGGGAGGGGAAAAAAGGGTGCCAGCCCTTTTAAATCTTACCCTATTCTAGTAAGTTACTTCAGCCAGAAGGAACAGGGGTTTCCAACAGTGGTAGGAGGTGCAACAACAATGGCCACCTGCCTCTTTACACCTCTTTGACAAGAAGCAGCAATTGGGAAAAGAGGGTCCTTTTTTGCCCAGTCTGGCTCCCCAAAACTGTGTGCAAGCTGCTCCAGAAACAGGTCTACATCTGGCTGCCATATAGCTAGGAGTTGCAGATGGGTAGCTGCTACTATGCTAAGAGCTGAGAATTAGAAAAACTAACCATAATTTACCATCCAACCCTTTTCCTGGAAGTTGCAAGCTTACAAGACTCTAGAATTTCAAAATAGTTACATCAAACAGATTCTGCCATTGTAATTGTTGCCTAGGTAGGGAGATAGGTTCCTGGTGCTTTCTACCCTACCATCTTCCCAAGATCCTCTCCTTTTGAACTGATTTTAAGTCTTTATTGTTTGTGGCCACTGAAGTCTCTGTTCCGTTAGATTAATATGGACCACTAATGGTTTGACAGAGATCTCCTCAGATGCTAGAACCAACCAACCAACCAACCATCAACTGATGGTCATTGGCTAATTCAACACCAACAGGAATCCCCAAATTGGGGTGCAGTGAAGAAGGAAACTTTATTCAATACGAAACATGTACTGGTTGGTCGATCAGGGAGGGGCTGCTGCCAACCTCCCATGGCTCCTCCCCATCACCAGCCCATCCCTGATCGCCCCCCATTGGGGCAGGTGGCTGGACCCCACCTGTGCACAAATTTGTAAAAGATAAGAGTGATAGATTTGAATGCATAAAACTTTAAAGTCTCTGCATGTGAAAAACATTCCATCATTAACATGATTAAAGGCTTAAAAAATACAGTCAACTTCATGATATACTGAACTTTTTTTCATGAATGTTGTAGGAAATTGTAAAGTATAACCAAGTATTGGGTGGATAGTTGAAATAGGTATTCTTCAATGATATCGAGTAAATGCCAAAGTGCCTTTGTAACAATGGCCTTCTAAAAACCATATTTTAACCCATAAGAGAGTTTTTGTTATTGGAGATTTCAGACATTCAGGCAGGCAAAATAATTAAATATATTTAGCAGGATACCACAAGAACCCTAAATCACACTTTACATGACTCATTTTAAAATAATTTTTGCTCCCCATCCCACAGTAGACTGGAAGGTCTACAAAGGCAATGACTTGTCTATATTATTTCTACTTATCTACTAGCAAATTGGGATCTGTTAAATATTGGGCGCTTAAACATGTTAAGTGTAGATAAATGGATAGATGGCTGGATGAATGGATAGATAAATGGTTGGATAAATTGTTAAAATATTTTGGTTTAAAGAAAGACAAACACACACACACACACACACACACACACACACCCTCAAAAGGGGAAAAGTATTGACCCTGAAAACTTGTTCAATATGAAAAGTTATAAAAAGTACAAGTATGTTAAAGAAGATAGTTTCTGACCTTATAGAGTTTTTCAGGTACAGACTAACCTTGACACTTCTCATATATTTGTTTTCTAAGATAGTTCTTTCATAATGAGGGAATTACTATCACAGACCCACAAGAACTGGCAATTTAAAAAATTCTCTTCTTTTCTACATCGTTCGCCTGTTTCTTTTCAAAATGAGGTAGGGGCACAGTACTTGCTCAATATGGCTTTGCTCTCATCAACACTGGGTTCAGAAAACAGCCCCAACCAGTTCTCCAAGCTCCTCGCTTCAATTCGATCTTTTACACTAGCTGTTGGCAAGCAGAGAGACAAGGATGACGCATTCTGCCACACTAGCCCCTCACCTCTGCTATCACAAGGGCATCTGGGCTCCCCTTAAATTGCTTTTATCCCCCTACAAGGGGGGTCCGAAGGTCAGCATCATCGCAAGCAGGTAGAATTTAAGGACTTGGGAGAAAGACTTGTTTAGCTAGCTTGTCGTCTACAGCATTTAAAAGCAAAAACCTTGGTAGGCTAGTGGTGAAAGAAGGTGACATCCTATGGCAGGAGGTGGACAGGGCTAGTCCGGTCAAGTTGAGGAGCAGCAAACTGAACCGCTGCGGGAAGAATTGGGGAATTTTAGAGTCAG